TAATTATAATAATCTTTATTTATATAGCACTTTTCATGCTGGTGGCAGCTCAGAGTGCTTTACAGGCAGGTGATGAAGCTTAACAGTAATACAAGAAATTTAAGTAATGGAAAATCATATAAAACAATGACAGATCAAATTAAAAGATAAATACCAAGAGACGTAGAGTTTTAATTAAACGTCAAGTGAAAGAGATGCAACAGTTTCTTAAAAGTGAGCACTGAGCTTGACTGTCTAATAAAAGGTGGATTTGAGTTCCACAGTTTAGAAGCAGAATAACTGAACGAGGCTTTTCTGTTTTCTGTATTTTACAGAAGGTATTTGAAGCAGGCCAGTATCTGAGATCATGTGCTGGAACGTAAACAGACAGACGTTCTGTGATGTAAGCAGAGCTTTAAAGTCATTTAGAACCTTCAAAACTAGTAGCAGAACTTTAAAAGATAGTCTTAAAAGATACAGACAGTGCAGTGATTGACTGCCCTTCTTTGTGTTTCATTCAAAAAGCAGTCTGGGCTGAAACACTCTTCTTATAACTTCAGCGAAAATGGGTGAAGCTAAACTGCTGTTTTTTGTGACATCACAAAAACACTGAATTCAAAACAAGCTGTTATTGCAGTTTAGTTCCCATATATGGGCTGTATGGACTGAAAAGTTAACCATTTGTTTTTGAAACCTTAACAGTTTTTATGTTTTAACAGTGCTTATATACGCTTACATCGAACATTTTTAGGTAGCACTTTATTTGGAGTGGGCCTTTGTAGATGATTAATAAACTCTTAACAGAGTATCAGTAACGCATCAACAACATATCAGTGAAGTAGCAGTAGTGAAGCATCTGAATACATTGAAGTAAATATCTTGAAGATATTCTATGGATACATTACTTACATTAAGTAGCTGTATTGTTAATATGCTACTCCCATTACGCAAACCTAACCTTACCCAACGTTACCCAACACCTAATCCTGGCCCTAATCCCAACTCTAACCTTAACCTCAACCCAAAACCTAACCCTAACCCTCATATGTTTTTGACATGTTACTGAGGGTCTGTTGAGAGTTTGTTTCATCTAAAACGACCACTCAAGTGTCACCCATTTTTACTTTTACAAAAGGGAGAAAAACTCATTTTGCATGAAAAAGACCATTTAAGTCAAAATGAACCAATTGCCCAAAACAGAAAAAAGGCCTATGATGACAATTGAGTATGATTTCACTGTTCTTTGCAAAAAGAAAGAAAAACCAAACAAGTTGTGATTGCTCTCTTTGTAATGAAACATGCAGTTGGTCAGTGCTCTTTTAATACTAATGACATCCACGATGTACTCAGAAAAGCAATCATTCACAGTTATTTATCATGATAATCATAAACATTATTACAAGCTCTATAACTTTCTGTATCTTTTTTTATGATACATGTAGTGTTCATGAAGTACTCATGATATCCATAATATATTCAGAAAAGTGTATTGTGACATCATTTATCACAAAAACATACATATCATATTGTCACATTGCTCATCCTTAATACCTCATTGATTGTGCTTTTTAGCTATTTACGAAAACATAATTCAATTTGCTCCTATACTCAAGCAAAAACGTGCTGTTTTGTTTACTCAGACTGTCATGATGTTACAAGTCGCCAGTACCGCTCATATAAATGCGTCTGTCACAGTGAACTGTCCCAGATTTGTGCATGATGAATGGTAGCACTCTGTCCCCAAAGCTGCTTATGCCTCTGCTATGGAAATAAATCCAAAATAGGCCAGTGCTCTGTCCGATGGTGACTTTTTTTTTGTCTATTAAATGACCTTCTCTGGCTCAATCACCAGAAAGTGCATTCACTGTGAAACTGCAAAGAAGCATGTTAACCCTTTAGTGCCCTGGCAAAAAGGGGGTATTTCTGCCTTTTAATCCACTCCTTCAATCATGTCTCAGTGCTGTAATGGCATTTATTTTATATTTGTAAAGAACATGATCTGACAAAACTGAAACTCTGTTCATTTTGTCACAAACTACCACTTTGAGCAATGAAACCTTTGAAAGTGAATATAATTCACAAGTTAGTGGCGTTTTATTGTTGCTCTGATGTGATAGATTTCCATAGTGATGTAAGTTATGTTCTGAATGTGTGCTCATGCTGACTATCGCAGTGCATCCAACAGTATGATCAATTCCACATGCTGATCTATTCGACTGTGACCAATGTGGACATGCACACTCACCAACTACTCCGGGTGCAGGTTTTAATCCTGTCATCAGTGTTGGAACAAAAGCTTGTATCTCCAAAATGATACAATTATACAAGAAGGATAAACATTATTAACTTGTAATAGAAGTTAACCTAAAAAGGTTATTTTTTAAATTCATTTTGTTTTGAGTGTGCGTGAGTGTATGTGTTTAACTGGGCTGTAGGCTCGGATTCGCGTGCTGAAGAGAGGGGAAAAAGGAAAAAAGACGGAACAAACGCATGGAGGTGCATTTCATATATGTTGATTGCTGGATCAAATCAGTTTTTCCTCCTTCCTTTCTATGATCTTTCTTCATTCAGAGAAGCCACGGTGTGATCTTTGAGTCTCTGAAAAGCTGGCCATTGATTGTCCACAAGTAGTAAGACGCGTTTGCCTGATAGTCTGTGTTCCTTCATAATAGGATATTACACCTTGCGTCCTGAGGAAACTGGTCATTGATACCAAAAGTTGTTCCTTTAGTTCTCTTCCTTTGCTTTTTACAAACTCTTTCTGTTTATAATGTTCGAATTTAGCGATTATTGGTCTGGGTCGATTTTGTCAATTTCATTTGTCTTTAATTAATAATTCTGGGTTGTCTGTTACGTTTTCAGGGATTCCAGAAAAGATGAGATTGTCTTGCACGTTTCTAGTCTGAATGTCAAGTTTCTTTCATTTCTTTGTTTTCCTTTTTGATGAGCTCGACTTGCAATGTAAGTAACGCCACAGAGTTTTGGAGTTCTTTGTTATTTCATTAGAGGTTGTTTATCTGTTCTTGAGAAAATTCTAAACTGGTTCGTAGGTCTTTCACATCCTGATGCAGTATTCCTAGTATCTCTAATTTTTTTATTGATAGATGCCAGTACACTGACCTGTATTTCGATGGTGTTTAAATTGTCCATGGAAGAGTTGGTTTTCTTCTGCTTAGCTGAGTTGTGTGCTGAGCTGTGTCGCTAAAGTTTTCAAGACCTTCCAGTGTAGCAGTGTATACAAGACGACCCAGAACCGAAGTTAAATGTCCACGGAATCGGAGGAGGGCCACAATTTCGGGCCGCAGCAAATTTATTACTGTTTAGCAGCTGGACGCTGCCATGCTGGATTCACCTCTGCTTTCTTCAGATTCAGACCTCGCTCATGCTCTTGCCTCTGGATTATTTCTGTTGGTCCAATAACTGTGAAATTTTCACACAATAGAAAGGGCAGCTGAACAAAGTCACTAAGCAACAGTTTTAACATGATGGCAGAAAAGAGTGTTTAATAGTTTTAACGAATACTACTGTTTAAATTTTTGAATCCCTGATGCGCTGAACTCATTGAGTAAATAGTGTTATCTCTTCTAAAATCATAATTTACTTTGCAATAAAAGCTCTCGCTAAAACCTCACACTTCAGCAACTGTCAAACAGTAGATCTCTGAAACTGTGTCCGCATTTTGTAGTCGGCATCATGGCCATAGCAGCTCCAAGTTGTTGTTTTTTTAGTTAGATATGAATCAAAATATGAATATTGCTACATCTAACCTAACGCTGCTGCACTCTAAATTGACATCATAAGATTGGCAACATCACCAAATTACTCACACAAACCAGAAAGCTTTGTCAAGTGTAGTAAGTAAGCAGTCTGACTAGCTGATGTATATTTAGCATTCTGCCAAATTAGCTCTAATTTGGTCTCTATGTAAAAAACTATGGTCCTGAAGTAAAAACTATTTAAAAAAGAATAATTTAAAATGATTGTTATGATCCATTTAAACCCAATGCATTATTTGAGATAATAAGTAAAATAATCATGAGTTTAATATTTAAATAAAAAAACTTTTTAAAAGTATTAAAAAATGCTGTCCCACGTTTTCATGTCACTACTGGAAGGAACGTAGGCGGAGACTTATTTTAGCCACACCCCTGCACTTTAGAGCAGGAAGTGAGACGGCATCCCTGACCCTCATTTATTAAGTAAATGTGTCCCAAAGTCTGAAAATAATTGTATAACATAAAGAACTGTCAATACAAAACACAGATCTACTATTAAGTAAATGTTTTTGTGTTTTAATAAAAATATTATGGTTTTATGTGTGCACAACTGTTATGCTCAAAAATTTGCCAAAATGTCACTGCCGAAACAGTCACTTCTGAAACATTTAGCAAAGTTTGGCAAGAGTTATGATTGTTTTGGTAGGGACAAGATGCATGTTTAACTATTTATTTTCATTTAAAAAATAAAATTAAGGCATAGGGTCACTCAAAGCAAAAGGATTTTGCTTAAAACTCTGAATTGTGTTTTGTACTCTGACTTTGAGTGACAGTGAAAAACAGCTTAGACCTGGAGTTTCTAATATGGGCATGATAGAATGACGCATGAATTAAGAGATCAGTAGTAGAGCTAAAGGTAAAATTTTCAGCTTTGTTAGATCACATTCTTTACATAGGAAAATAAATACAACGACAGAATTGAGAAATCATGTTCTTATAAGAGAAAAGATGATTAGAATTCAGAAATCAGTACCTTTTGTTATGGCATTAAAGGGTTAATGAGTTAAAGGGGACAATTCTGACAAAACTGACTGTATTGCAGATGACACATTAGATATGTCCTCAGCCTTTTTCAAATATTTTATCTTCGCACAGTTCTCTGTATGTTTTAGCTCACATAATTTGAAGCATGTTTACCTACACTGTATCCCGTGGGCCCGATAACAAACAAAAGACATTGTTAGCGACGGCTCTTGCTGAATGCTGCTTCCTCTGATGCTGATCATATTTTATTCATGCATGCAGGTCCCAGTCGGTGGTGGAGCCTGGAGTGCTTAAACGGCCAGAAAAAGTGAAAAATGAAGAGGAGAACATGCAGCCGCTGCTTTCACTGGACTAAAGGCTTTGAATTCCCCTGGCTACGAGCAAACTTCAAGCGCTGAGCATCGGGGAGAAGTGCACCCAGTTCCACAAGCAGAGAAAAAAAATTGTACAAAGGAAAAAAAAATGATGTTGAAAGGAAGAAAGAGACGGAAGATGAGGAGAGCCTGTGGAAACACTGGGGAGAGACAACGTTTAAAGTGATATTTTTGAAGCAAAGAGCTAATGGAAGACGTCCATATGTAACTGTTAAGTGCCAATTTCAAATCTGTAAATACACTTCGGATTAGGATTTTGGGAGAGTAATCGTGACATGAACACGTGTAAAAGACTGCTGTGAATATTTCTGTATGTGCTTTCTCGTGATAAGTTTGTGGAGAGTGGTGTTGTAGGAGACTGGGGGGGTGGGGCTTTTGGTATTTCAAATGTCCAAATCACCAAGTGCAGCTCAGGATTTATGATTAACGATTAGTATGTTAAAAAAAAAAACAAAAACAACAAAAAAAGAAAAGCATATGGCTATTAACTGTGTCGTATAAGCATATGCTGCTTTCATTAGGGTAAATACCGAACGTTCGCTGTTCAGGTTGTAGTCTTTCAAAGCAAATACCCCTTTACACCGCAGCAAGGCATAATGAATTATAGTTTTTCGTACAAATATCGTTTAATTTCTGCACAGGCTACACTGTGCCAACAGTATACACTGAGTATGTCCTGAAAAGGCCAGAATATTATTTGTTTAGTGTTTCAGAGGTGTTCCTGTTTGTGTTTAATGAAAGCCCCCCACTTCTATTCTCCAGTCACCTACATGTTGGCTAGATATTAGGGTTGGGCTGTATAACGGTCATAAGGTACACCACTGTATTTAAAAATGATGACAGTATTTTAAAATTCTGATGTGTCACATTTGTATTCCACATCTAAATGGCCAAACAATCACATTCCACCTATTTGTCCTTTAGAAGAGCCATTGATTGGTGGTGTGGGAGCTCACTAATAGGGGAAGGTCAGAGCCAAGAAAAACCTCCAAAAAACCAAGCACGACAGTGGCTCAGCGATGGCTAAGAGCTACACGCACTACAGAATGTTCGATTTTGGCTTTTGCACTAATGCCAGTGACTCAACTTGCCTATGCTGGCATGTTAGGTCCACTGACTAAGCTATCATTAGCTTAACCAAAACTCTGCAGTCCCAGACACCACAAAACAGGTTCGATTTCAGCTTTCGGCCACTCCAGTCACTCAACTTTTGCTCTCTCACACATTCATTTTTGTCACTTGCACTGTGTGTGGGTCTGTAGCCTGCTCGCTAAGCTAACATTAAGTTAGCTGATCAGGCGTCAGCTACAAACACCATGGAACAGGTTTAATTCACCTTTCTGTGTCTTGAGTGCCAGTTGTTCAACTTCACACCCTCAAATTAGCATCTAAATTTGTCTGTGCTTTAGTCAGCCAGAATCGGTCATGCTCTGTGGTAAGCAGAGCTGTTATCATGCTAGCTAAGCTAAAGCTAACCAGCTCCTCTCGTACTTAGCAGCACTGTTTTAACATTTAGCAATTGTTAAATTGATGATTTCACATTTATTGAATGACAGCTTAAAAACTGCGTGCTGTGTTCACTTATTTAGTAAACAAACCAAACCTTTTGATTATTTTAGATGTGGAAGTAGAGCAGGACTTACATTTCTTACGTCATATTTCAAGGCGCTTTGAAGGTATGAAACAAGTGGATACTGCCCAACTCTAGATACAATGCCTCTTATTCCAGTCTACATTGAAAATGCTGTTTGTCCTCCTGCATTACATACAGAAATAACTGTAATGATATGCTGTCACCATAGTGGAAAAACAGCATTTGCAGATTTTCCAAAAAGCAATCGAAGCATTTCACAGCCTGCAGCATATTATTCTGTATTAATATGATACTTTATTTTTACCATAGACTTGTTCGTGTTCAAAATCATGCCACAATTAGACTATTTTTATGTGGATTATGTGGATTGCATTATGTGTGTAAACTGACTTCCCTGACTACACAAATCGTTTGTTTACCAGGTCAGTCAGCTGTGGGCCTTTGTAAGGAAAACAAGGCATAAAGCTTGACGGGTTGGAGTTTATTATGCTCACCTTACAATGACTGTGATGAAGTCTTGTTTGTGTTGATAAGGCCTGCTATTTTTCAATGAGAAAACTGCCTATGAGGAAGCCATTAATAGATTGTGGGTGTTGCTGCAACAGAATCAACCAATACATATTGGCTTTTAATTATGCTGGGTTATTTAAACTTCCCCTTTGTTTGCATTATTCGATCTAACTGCAACAGGTTCTTTGCAGGTGTTGAACAAAAGAAATCAGAATGTCTCATACTCAAGGCTTTCATGCAAGAAGAAGAAGGTAGGCCTATCTGCACTATTTTTTATGTTTAGTTTTAAAGTGTGTTCAGCACAATCCCTAATGTGCACTGTGAATTGAATGTTGGTACAAATTACAACACTTAATAATTTTAGATAAATTCATAGATCAGCTTGTTGAGCAGGTTTGGATGTTTAGCAGATGGTTTGGCCTAACTGTCTAGCCTGTACTAGAAATGTCCACAGCAGTTTCTGGGTTAGGACCTTGATCTTCTGTGGTTGAGCAATTCCAATCGTTGTGAATAGTGTCTGGTTTTGTGTTCTGGCTTGGTTCTGTTGCATTGGATTTGAATGGAGCAGTCTTACCCTCTGCCCTTCTCAAGATACTGAGTGCTTTTACTAATGCTTTTAACTATAGGCTTCATAAGTCGTGATATGATGAAGAGTCAAAGCCACCACTGAAATAAGTGACACATTGACTGCACTTAAATAAAAATGATGAATAAAATATATTACATGGGCAACACATCAACACATCACTTTTTCAGTAGTAGGGGGAAAAAGTAAATTGGAGAAATTTTTTAGCAACTAATTAAACTTAATTCCACAGATTTTTCAAAATTTCTGCAAAATTCAGTGTTTAAGATGTAAACAAAGTCATTCAGATGGTATATTACTTTATTATATGATTTATATAATAATATTAAGTAAGAATGTAATATATCATCTGAATAACCTTGTTTACATTATATGTAGTATTATAGTATTTCATTATACACTATATAAGTTATTATTCAGTAAAGTTACATCAATTATCAATACCAGAAGTGATTCCAAACTTTGGAAAATGGGAAAAAATGACTAAATGAACCAGTATTTTTGAAAAAATTGTGCTGAATTTTCTAGAGGAATAGAGTTGTGTGAATAGTGTGAGTAGATACATAATTCAGACTTTAAAATTACACTCGGTTCAAACATTAAAAAATTCAAAAAATTTGGTTAAAACATTAACTTCAAAGAACTTGGTCAAACCACACAATTTAGTGACTATGTCAAACTATTGTTCATGCAATAGTATACTTCCTGGCAGAAGGAAGCAGTGCCTGCCGTAGCCATCCCTGCCACCATTGTTGCTAAAAGTCACTCATTTCTTAGCATGCATACACACTGAGAATGCATCGCTATGGAAACACTTATTATTAATTTGTTTCACTGTAGTAACAGCTGAAATATGAAGCACAGTTCTCTTCATTTGTTTTCTTGCTCAAATTTATAGATTGTAACACAACCAACACACAATATGTGAAATTGTGCATTGTAGAGAAACTTACCAACTTGGATTTCCTTACATTACAGTGGCGGTGATGGGCAGTCGTGGGCTGGAGTTTAGGGAACCAGCCTTGCAACCAGGAGGTTGCTGGTTCAATCCCCTGAGCTGACAGTACATGACTGAGGTGCCCTCGAGCAAGGCACCTAACCCCCAGCTGCTCCCTGGGTGCTGCGGATAGGGCTGCTCACCGCTCTGGGCAAGTGTGCTCGCTGCCCCCTAGTGTGTGTCTTCACTAGTGTGTATGTGGTGTTTCACTGCACAGATGGATTAGATTGCAGAGGTGAAACTTCCCCGTTGTAGGACTAATAAGGGTCACTTAATCTAATCTAATTATCCAATATGACCAGTGACCCCACATGCAATTTTATATGTAATGTTGATAATGGTAAAATAGTGGTGAATCTGGAAAATTCTGAAGTTTTCTTCAGGGACTATTTTCCTTACAACACCCTGCATGTAGCTCTCTGCCCTGAATAGATTTTGAAAATCTCAGGCATCAGGCAGCATATTCATAACCCTTTCATTTAATATTTTCTGTGAGGGAGAGTTAAAAGACATTAAATATTTGGTTCCCATCACCACCACTGTGACCAATTCTGACTTGGTAAGTTTCTCTATTTAAAATGAAACCACTCTGAATGACTTTATGTTTTAATAGATTTATGTAGAAATTAAAAGAAAAACCTATGGAATTCCTCTTTAAGTTCAGGTAATGTACAGTACCTCTTGATTCTGCATAACCCTGTTCCTGGAGTACCACACACAGAACAGAAATGTTTTCCTTGCTCTAACACAGACTGCAGGAGGTTTAAGACAGTGGTTCCCAATGCATCCCTAAGGACTCTTTTTTGGCACTTTTCTTGCTCTAATGCACCTGACTCAGCTCACAACGGGCTTCATGATTACCTAACGAATCCATTCAGGTATGCAAGACTGGGACTGAGAACTACTGGCTTAAAAATGTGCTGATTCATTATGTAAAGTAATAAAGACAGGAAACTATTAACCCTTATAAGCCACAGCTATCACTACATGTTGATAACAAAAGCATGTAGTTTTATATGAATTATTTCTCACTCGTAGCTCATTGAAACAAGTAGAGAAATTCTGTGGAAAGTGGAGATTCAAGTCTAATCTATACTATGTGTTTGTGAGTAGAAGAGGCGATATTTTATTATGATTATCTTATTTGAATTTGACAGAAAAGCTGTCTTTTGCATTTTTGCCATATTTTTGTCATTTCTTGGCATCAAAACAAACAGAAAACAGTCAGAAGTCAAACTCAAACTTGTCAAAACAGAATGTAAATTGAATGTAAACATAATTTGTTGCATAGCTCAGTATGTAATTAAGTGTTTTTATGTAATTACATTTGAGTTGTACAGCAAAACGACATTAATTTCTCCTGTCTTTTAAAGGTTAGGCTGTGCAGGGGGACTCCACAACCAGAAAACAGTTCAAAACAAACAAAAATCAGGATTGTATGTTTGTGCACATGCAAAGAATGTACAGTAAGATAAATCATAAGAGGTCAAGACTGCTTGATGCAAGTTCAATGCAATAGCAAAGCGCTTTAAGACAGCATTGAAAGGTTCCTCTTAAGGCCCACCGTGTTCATAGTTTTTGTGCATTTTACTTTTGAAGGGCATACTTCAGGCTTCCACCTTTTTTCAGTTCTTATTCTGATGAACTGTAGACCAATACAGACCTTCGGCAGGTAACAAAGACAGAGTATGACATTTTAGACGTGGCCAAGAAATGTCACATAACTGTTTTCTGCTGCTTTGTGTTCTGCCAGAGGAGCCCTTCCAGCCAGTCAGTGTTAGGTTCTCTGTCTTTATGGAGTAGTAACTTGTTAAAATGTGGAATACGTTTACCAGGAAAGTATTTACAGTTATCAATCCTCAAACGGTGCTGTGGATTGAATCGGGTTCAGTATTACTGTCAGGACCAGTGTTTTAAGATCACTTGTCATTTGTCATTTGTACTTCTCTCATGCACCATTTGAACAGCCTTGTTTTGATATTTTTTAAGCATTTGGAATGTTTCTCAAATTGTCTCGATTTTCAAGCCTTGCTTTGTATAAGCACTCATACGAGTACTAAAAATGTATTACCACTACAACCAAAGCTACCCCACTCAATGAGACAAAGAATAGTCCTCTGCTTTTCTAAAGATCGATTACTTACTTTAGGAGTATTTCAGTATTATAATATTTCTTGATTATTCAAAGCATTGTTTTTTTTTCTTTAATTGTTTATTTAACTTTCATATCACCTTGATTGTATATAATATTAATGATAATAATGAAAGGGCCCATACAGTATAAAGATGTTATCAGAAAGGAAACCATTTGTGATTTAAAGGGAAGTGTTGAACAGGAGTAAATATGTGTATATGTCCTTACAAACAAAATGCTGAAATAAGTTATGTAACTGAAATGGAACTAAGAAAGAAGCAAAATAGAACCAATAAATATTGATACACCTCATTTAAACCACTTTTTCTTTCTTTCTTTTCTGACTTTTTAAGATGATTAAGTCTGTATTTTCTTTTTTGTGTATCTCTACGGACACTTGGTGGTTAGCCGAATATGGCAAAGTAGCTTCTTTTTGTGCATCCCTCTGAAGGCTGAAACATTAGAAGAATGAATACCCATGTTGATCCAATACACTAGCGCAAAAATGTTCTTGTCTACCTGGTTGAATTAAAGCAACCCTGTTTCTGGAGATCAACCATCCTGAAGGGTTTGCTTCTAACCCTGACTAAATGCATCTGATCCAGATCATCAGTGCACTTAATTAGGTGCATTGGATGTAAGAAGCTGTGCTAGATCTCCAGGTGCAGCATGGGTGCTCACTGGATAAAGTTTCAGTTGATTAGCCAAATCACATTTAGCTTCCAAATTTTGCTTCTTTAGTTCAATGCTGGAGCTATGAGGCTAACATTGCTAACAAACACTAGAAGTCAATAGTCACCCAAATCTTTTCTTTAAAACCTCCCTTGCCATAATGAAGTCTGGTATATGGCCATGGAGCAATATTTTCATTTATTTTATGTTTATATTTTATGTTATAGCTATTTTACTAATTATAACTAATAATATGAAACTAGCATGTGTGAGATATATATACCATCCATATGTGAATTATAGTTTCTAACATATATTGTTAAACGTATGTGTTACACATATATATTTGTATGTTAAAATATGGCTAAAATATATGCCCCATATTTTGAAAATGGTCAATTTTAAATAAGTTGGCATATATATCACATATATGTCCATTTGTGGCAAATATAATCCATATGCCTGCATGATGTGCATACATGTGAAGGGAATCAAATTCGGTGGGGAGTTAGCACAACCCCTGCAGCGTTTAGCTACATGGTGAAGTTTTGTTCATTTTTATAGTTTGTAGTAAGTCATAGTGTGCCCTTAACCACATCAACAAGTCTGTGCAACCTAAATGAAGCAGCTGGATCTGGTTTGAGCAGGTTGAGACAAGTTTTGGGGATGTATTTACAGAAAAGATTTAGGTGACTATTGACTTCTAGTGTTTGTTAGCAGCATTAGCCTCATAGCTCCAGTACTAAATTAAAGAAGCAAAATTTGGACACTAAAAAAACTGACTACATCTTGGGTAATTGGAAAATTGTGCACATTCATTACAATTTCCTCAGCCAAGTCCTCTTACATCTTGCAAGTTTTGCACTAGAGCTACGAGGCTAATGTAGCTGATGATTACAGCTTTGTAATGTCATTTACATTTGTAACATCACACACTGGCCTCAATCGAGTTGTTACATGAGCTCAAATAATCTGTTAGCAATAAAAATGAACAAAAGTGCACTGTATGGCCAAATGTATGTGGACACTTGCATGAGCTTGTTGGACATCCCATCCAAAATCATGTGCACTGATATGAAGTTGTATGTCACATTACTGAAGACAGTAGTAGCAGCCACCGTGAAGCCTGAATTTTGTTTGTATGTTTATCCATTTTTGTAGATAATACTATGTCATATGGTGTCGGAAACCACATAAGCAAATTTGACATTGCTTAACAACTTAATGGTTTGAGGCAAGTGTGATTTAAGCATTGAGTTTGCATGATGCTAATCTGGAGGCCACAAACTTCCTTTATTTGTTAGCTACATAAGCCTCAAAGCCAGAGCAAACCCAAACATGTCTTAGTCAATC